GCTGCATTTGGAGAGGGTCCCTGAGACTCAGCAACTCAGCAAGGCCCAGGCACGGACCAGAGACACTGGATCCAATGGCTGGACTGAGCAGCTTCCCCAATAGGACTTTGAGAGTGAGTGGGTGGGGGTAGGCCCCGCATTCTTCCCTTCCCCAGGGGGGCTCATCACCCTCCTCCCCCGGCAGCAACTGGACAGATGGCCGTCCCAGGAGAGGCAAATGGGAAGAGAAACCTCTGGCTCATTGAAGGAGGAGACTTAGGCTGGAGCAACGCTCACTGAGGGAGACAGTTCCCTCTCTAGCATTTTTATCATTGGGGACCTTGTCCCAGTGACCCCCTAGAACAGGCTGGGGGCCCCATAAAGTGGCTGTACCAGGACAGATGAGAAGAATGGTGTGCGTAAGAACTGGGGTGGCAGAGCTGTCTGACCCTGCGTGACCGCAGACAAGCCATCTGTGGGTGTTTAAAGTGAAGCTATTGCCACTGTCAGGCATCCTCAAGCCCAGGGACATCAAAAGGGCCTCACTCAGGCCAGGGCTGGGCCTTTCTTGTCCACGTCTCTGCCCATTTCCTGCCCTCAGAGCTTTTCAGGAATCTCTGACTATTATTGTGTGGATGCTGAGGCCCAGAAAAGGGAAGAAATTTTTCTTACTGTTATTTTTTTACTTTTTATTTTTAAATGTTTTATTATTTATCTTTTTTATAGAGAGAAAGACAGAGCATGAGCAGGGAAGGGGCAGAGAGAGTGGGAGACACAGAATCCGAAGCAGGCTCCAGGCTCTGGCTGTCAGCGCCGAGCCCCCTGAGGGGGCTTGAACCCACGAACCATGAAATCATGACCTGAGCCGAAGTCGAACGCTTAACCGACTGAGCCACCCAGGTGCCCCACTCTTACTGTTATTTTTGACCTTGGAAATATCTGAGGGCTCTCGATGCTAAATGAGGAACCTTAAGGAAGTGAATCAGGTTGGGTGATACATGTGTATTGGGGTCCGGGTTAGGTGGCCGTGCTATTTTTCCCTTAGAGGATTTGATGACATAGGGAGGGCACTGGATGACATTTGGTTTAGGTGAGACTGTAAGCTGCGCGGTCCTAGACTTACAGGGTAAAAAAATAAAATTGCCATGAGGCTCTATCGAGTTACTGAAAGCTGTCCCTGGCGGCAGTGCTCCAAGGCCAGCGCGTCTCCCTCACCCCTCCGGGAGCCCACTGGTCTTCTCATACTTCAGAGTCCGTCTGTGGGAAGGTCACTTCTTCCTGGAGTGCTGGACCTTATACCCTGCAAACCAGCCGCTCTGTGCCCCTCCCCCTCCCACCACCCCATTCTCTCTTGGGGGAAGCCACTCAGCACTGGGAAAGACAGACCCCAGCCAGAAACCACAGGCCCATCTCTGCGTGGCCTTTGATAGGCTGAGTGACCAGACAGGTCCTTTCTCTGATTCCCGTCTCAGGGTGTCTGGCTCCCTAAAGGGGGCCCTGTCAGTATTCCTCAGAGAGGAGGGCAGGGGTGAGGTGGGTGCAAGGCAGGGCCAGGACCCCCAATAAATCAATCACAGAACAGCTAGGCACCTACCTGCCTCCCAGATGAAGTTTACAGGGAAATTTTTAAGCCTTTAAAAACTTCCTGAGCTGCACCCCACATTGTATCAAGATATAAAAATGTGGCAAGTCTGGGTGGCTCAGTAGGTTGAGCCTCGGACTCTCGATTTTGGCTCAGGTCATGATCTCATGGATGTGGGTTTGAGCTCCCGTTCGGCTCTGAGCTGGCAGCATGAAGCCTGCGTGGGATTCTCTCTCGCTCCCCCTCTCTCCCTCTCAAAATAAATTTAAAAAAAATTAAAAAATTAAAAACAGTTTTAAAAAGATCTAAAAATACCCCCCAGATCCCATGTTAAATTGCATTTTTCTATGATTACACAAGTTAGGTTGATTTACAGTTGACTCATTAACGATGTTCTACGTACAGACATTTAATTGTTCGTTAATTTCAATTTTGCTGGAGTTGGATTGTTTTGTTTTTTAGAGCTAGTAATTATTTTCAAGTTTCGAATATTTCCTTAGGGCCTGTGATAAAGCCCGAGGCTTTGTGTTTCTGTTTTGTGGGGTTGTGGCTGCAGGCGGATTGTGGGGGGAGACGGGCCTATCCTCCCTCCGCCAGTCTCTGCAGGCCCTTCGGGAGGCGCCAGATTGTGTGGGCGGCGTCGCCTGGGGATGGTGGGATGTGGCTCCCACCCGGCTCGGGGCAGGAGAGCCTTACGGGCACGCCGGGGAAGCTCGGGCCCGAGTGGCCGCCTCCCCTCCCCCAGGCCGGGGTGGAGGCAGCCGAGAGCTCTCCAATTGGAGAGCCTTTCATCTCTTTGTTTTTACAGTGATTAACCCGTCCGAGCGCGCTCCAAGCGTGGCTCCAGGCAGCGCAGGGGGAGGGGAGCGGAGGGCAGGGCCAGGAGGGGAGGGAGGGGCTCTGGGCTTTGTCGCTTTATGGGTACTGTGCTGCCATAGCAATGGGGCTTTCTATGGCCTGACTTTCATTCGATTCCATTAAAAAGCCTGTCTGCTCAGTCTCGCGAGCGGAGTGGGCGTTCCGTTTTCTCCAGGCTTGCCCTGCGCCCCTCGCCCTTGGGGAGGGGAGGGCGCAGACTGGGCTAGATCGCCGGGCCTGCAGGGGGTGAGGGGGTGGCGAGCCGAAGACTTGATTTTGGGCACACAGCACCCTTGCCCGGATCGCCAAAGGTGGGCGGCTAGGCTCGCACTCCTACGACCCCGGGAGCCCCTTCCTCTCCAGGGGCGTTGGGGCTTGAGGGAGGCACGCAGTTCAGCCCTTGTCCGGCAGGACGGAGGCCAGGGCACCTGTCGGTCGCTCCACCTCTGCATGCATTTCACACTTTCTATCCTGTTAGGCGCCCGCACTCCTCTGCCTACGCGGACTTTTCCTCTTCTGGTTTTTATGTCATGTGGATTTAATCTAGTTAGACGATTTTCTGCTTAAAATTGCATTGTTAACAGCAATTGTTTAAAAGTGGACCGAGAATCTAGGCGCCCAATCTTTGAACCGGGCGGGTTTTGCATGCCTCTGCTTGGTGCTCCAATCGGCCTGTAAAGACCCGAGCGCGGAGGGGGAGGGCGACACAGAACAATCCTCGAGCTTTCTCGCTCTTGAGCCTTCAGGGCCTTTTCCCCAAGCGCAAACAGATGCAAATGTCTCTGCAAACATTGCACAAAGCTATAAAGAGAGAGGTGGCCTCTCCAGGCCTCAATAGCCCTTTAAACCCAGTCCAATTGCCCTTAAGTAGAGGTAAATGGTCCGCACGCATTTTTGCACTTCGGATGGAAGCGGGGGTGTAAGAAGCGCCAGCGCCTTGCGGGAGCGGGGGCTAAAGGAGGGCTCCTTCGGTGCAATGGTTTATGCCGCGTACCCCGGCCGCCGCGCACTAAGACGGGCCAGAGGGTGCAGTGGCTCTGGGGATGCAGCACCTCGGGCTGGACGCGGACCGCCAGGTGGAGGAAGCTGGTGCCGCGGATATGCGCGCCCCGAGAGGTTGCGGGTCCTTTCGGGCCCACAAAGGCCGCGCTAAATCGCCGCGCGCACAATAGCATGAAAGGGCGCGCACAGGCCCTTCAGGAACAAAGTGGGATCACAGTGCTCCAAGAAGACTAATAAGCTTTTTAACTGGTAGGCACGTCGGCTTCGCCTCGCCCTTTGTGCGCGCCGCGCGCCGCGGTGAGAGCGGGTGTGTACCCTCCAGGCCCCTGGGGATATCGGGGACTCTGCCTTCCGCGTGCCTCAGAAATCCTGGGGCAGCCGGAGCGCGTAGCACCAGGCGTTTCCTTCCAACCTCGCCAGCAGAGGCTCCGGAGGAGGCCTGCGGACGCAGTCCGTAGCTGGCCCCAAACCCCTGCGTCCTGCTCACCCACGTGGGCCTCGCGAATTTAGAGGCTTGGGCACTTCTTCATCCCTCGGAAGACCGTGTGAAGACTTCGGCGTCTTAGACCTTAAGAGGAAGTAGCTCCGAAAAGATGCCAGCGCGGGTGCGAACTCAGCTGCTCGTCCCCAGCACCTAGCCAAGTGGTCACTGCCTCCAGTCCAAGGCCTTCCCTCAGACACCGCTATGGAAATGTGCCCTGGGCGCGCTGGGCGGCCACACGCCGGGAATGGCCCCCTGCCCTTCACTTTCTTCCCTGCACTGTGCCACCTAACATACCATCCCTGTTTGTTGAGGCTGGGGCGGGGGGCATGGGGGGGGGAGGCGGGAGGTGCGGTGCCTGTGGGGGAATTGTGGTCACCGAACTTCCGGCCCTGTGGTCTCAGGTCTGGGACAGAAATCAAATTATACGTTAGGTATAGTCCCAGAGAGTCATCAACCTTTTGTACCTCAGCAGGGGTCGGTTGAATCCATTTGCTGGGTAGGAAGAAATGATCGCCCCACGGAAGGACAGGAGCTGTTGGTTGGGCTTCAGTGGCGAACCGAGGCATCTAAGTCTGCAGGTGTCTCTGGTCCCTATCAGCCCCTAAAATGTACTTTGAGGGCATGGACCATACTTTACTCCTCACAGGATGTGGCCCTTGAGGATGTTCCCCAGGTGTCTGTGGAACGAATGAACGAGTTAGGGAGAAGTGTTCTGGGCAGGGAAGTCTCTGGTTGTCCAGCAGCGAGAGATTTTGGAGCTTTGAGTGGCAGGAAAGGACAAGCCCTCCCTTGATGGAACCCCCCCAACCCTCCCACCCACCCACACACTCACTCCAGCCTTCTCTGCTCCCAAGCCCCTTTCCTTCTGCCATGGTGTCACTTTCACTTGTCTTCATTTGCTGTGTCAGCCCCGGGCTGTCACTTTCTGGAAGTGGTAGATCCCAGCCCCAGACCTGATCCAAACAGCCTGTCTTAAAGCTGGCGTTTTATGTGTGTGGCCAACAGCACTTTCCTCCACCGCAAACGCCTCGCCACCTTTAAATGCCGCCCAAATCGTGGTGGCAGCGGGTGTGCTTACCTAGATCATAGGCTGGCTAATGTTAGCCCCCATTATTTATTGAGGCTTTCTTTGTGCAACCTACTTCAACATGAAGGGTGCCAAGCCCCGCAGTTGGCACCGGTGTTTATCCCCATGGCACAGATGAGAACTCCCAGGCTTAGAGTTGCTGTCGCTTGTCAAACAATGGCAGAGTCAGGATTCGAACCTTGGCAATCGGTTCCAAAGCCCAGGTTCTGTTGCTAGTTTGTTCCAAATCGTGCTTTTTCTCTTCGCTAACTCCACCCCCACCCTCGGTACTAGAGACCAATTCTCCAGGCTGGGGGGACGCAGCCTGCCTCCCAAGAGGCGCGTCCTGGTCGCCCCGGGCAGGTGCAGGGCCCTGGCGGGCGCGTGGGGCGGGGTGGGGGCGTTATCTCCTGACCGATGGCGGCCTGCACATCTGTTTATCTCCGAGGCCGCGCTGGATTGGATTTCTCGATGTTTATCTCCCTCGGAGGAGCAGTGCGCTGGGGCCGCCGCGGAGCGCGCAGCTGCGAACCCAGCCGTGATTGACAGGTCGGGAACCTGGCCTCCTGCCTGGCTCCGTGTGGGTGTGGGCGGCTCCGCGGAGCTCACCCTGATCCTGACCGGAGAGAGCGCTGCAGGTGAGCGTGCAGGCAGCCAGGTGCCTCCGAGTTCCCTGGTCCGTCAAGCGCGCAGGCTAGGTCTCTGCTTCGTTAAGTACCGCTTAGCTGAGCCAGAGGGACAGTGTTGATTCAGCAATGCAGACTGGGGACAGAGGATGGAGTTGAGGGGCGGTGGGCAGTGAACAGATGGATGAAATCCCAATGAGTGCCTTTCCTAACCTGTCAGGTAGGCATCCTCAGGGAGCTGAGCAAAGGCCCTCAGAAGTGCCTGCTCCCAAGATTGCCTGGGGTGAAGAGGGAGGCCCCGTTTGGGGAAAGGGGAATGTGAGTACTAGTACAAGTACTTCCACGTGGGGCCACTTCAGGAGGTTACAAAGGTCAGTGAAACTAAGATGGACCATTTAGCTACCTTTTCTGGCCATACCCCCACCCATTCAGGTCGCCTCCCATGGTCTTTTGTTACTGCAGTTTGTACTTCTATATACACTCATGGCGTGGCCATGTGACTGATGGAGGTGCTGGCTCAGTGACCCCTGCCTTATTACATGGATGTCACCATGTATTGGTGATTTAAGTTCCCCTGTCCCAGTGGCTGCCTAATAGATGTGATCTGTCCCTCCAAAGTTTATTTTAATTCCCTCACTTCACCCACCGCCTAGCTCCCCGTTTTCACTTTCCAGCCCCCTTTAAGAGGGGGATTCCTGAGTACCTTTTTGTGCTCCTGATGTTAAGGACAGATTAGTACATCTGTCACAGCCCATATCCATCCCTTGCAACGGGGGCCTGGGGTCTTGAGCGACAGGAGATAGGACACTCAGCGTGGGCAGTTCCCGCTCTACCTGGGTCACTTGTTAAGCACTCAAAGTGTACAGAGAGCATTGGCTGGTCTTACTGGCTGTGCGGGTGGCCCCGTATGTTCAGTGATGATATCCAGGCACCTGGGTTTATCATTTCACACAGACTATATTGAGCCAGCTAGTGACAATAACTCCAAAAGAAAGTGTCATAATGGGCAAATGGATACTGGGTGGCTTCGCATGGGACACAGGTCCACCTCTCCTGGCAGAATGGGCACTGATTCTCTGGGCTGGAGGGCCAACGCATCCTTCTAGAGTGCCAAGAAGTAGAGATAGGACTGTTAGTAACCTCGATTGCCCTTCTCGCCCTGTACCGGACTGGCTATCTGATGGCAGGAGGTGTGCGAGCCAGACAAATGCTGGCTCGTTGGTTTCCTTACTATTTATGCTGCCCCGTGGAAGCAGATGATGGCTCTCACGACCCTTTACTGAATCACAAACCACACCGTCCATGGAGGCCCACCAGGAACAGAAAACCAGGGTACATACAGTGAGGGAGGAGATGGCCCAAGACTACGAGTGTGTTTCTACTGAGTGTTAGCCTCCCTTTTCCGCAAGCCACTCAGGCCTGGATCTCTGTAGCCAGGAGCTCTGCGGGGAGATCTCAAGCGCAGGGAAGGCCTCTTTCTGGTCGCAGTGACCTCTTTCTGGTCACTGAGTCAGGTTCAGGCTATCATAAAACAGTCTGCTTTGAGACATGACTGGTTAAGGTTGATTCAGGCTTCAAGACCTGGATTCTCTTTTCTTTTTGTGCTTTAGAACAGTCGCCATTAAAGTTGGCCTCGACCATGACAAGAGGTCAAGACAGACAGAGGGAGGGCCTCATCCTCCCAATTACTTCAAACTGGTACAGCTTAATCCATTCTTTCTGAAACGAATCTTTACGTCCCTGAAGGGACCCTGATGGCCTCTTACCACGAGGAGGCTTAAAAGGTTTCCCCCCCAAGAGCCAGGTCATGAACATCTTGAGGTGAAGAGTCAGGAATGGAAGGAACTTAACCATCCAGAGCCCTGGAACCTTGAGAATATTTGCTTTTAGAGAAAAGGCATGGAAATTGTCCTGGGCACAACTCCCAGCCCCATGGAGAGCTGCAGGCAGGGCTTAAGGCTCCATGTACAAAGGCTCCCCCAGGGTGTCCTGGCGCATCTGGGCAGAGATCCCCTCGATCTGGCTGCTGGTTCAGCTCTCCCCACACCTCTGGGTCACCTCCATCGTTTAGGCCACAGCGGTCAAGCTTCTGCTGCTCCCTCTTCTCCACCCCGCCCCACCCCTACTGTAACAGACCCTTCATCTGACCAAGTCCTGACATTTGGAATAATGAGATAAGGGCTGGGCCTTTAAGGAAGGAGCTTCTCTTTTCTATTTATCCTGCTGCCCTGATGATTCATTAAGATTCCCCTGTGTGGGGCTGCACAGGCACCCCCCCCCCCCCACTGTACTGCTCTGACATGTTCAGGGGTTCAAGCCTCCCTGTCTCACCCCTCCAAGACACAGGGCTGGACACAGGACACAGGTCCTACACAGAAGCCCCTGGAGGCCTGCCTCAGATCTGGGGATGGAAGCCTGGAGAAGCAGCAGCCCATTTTCACTGGCTGACCTGAGGGGCTGGGGAGGTCTCCCTGCAGAGGGCCTGGGCAGGCCGGTGGCCGTGGGACCTCAGGAGGTGTCCCCAATAGTGAAGCCTTACTTCTTTTTTCCTTTTGTGGTCAAGGGGTAATTGAAGATTGAAGTGGAAGTTCTCTAAGCACATGATATGCGCCGGGCCTGGCTTTTCCTTTCAGGGTCCTTAGAACTTCTTCTTCTTTTTTTTTTTAATAGTTTATTGTCAAGTTGGTTTCCATATAACACCCAGTGCTCATCCCCACAAGTGCCCTCCTCCATGCCCATTACCCCCCTTCCCCTCCCCTCCACCCCCATCAGCCCTCAGTTTGTTCTCAGCATTCAAGAGTCTCCTTAGAACTCCTAAGCCTGACACATAGCAGGTGCTGAGAAACACCAGCAGAATGATGGGGCAGCTATAGGAGTGAGGAATCAGAGGAGAGAGACCCCTTCACAGAGTTTTATTACCTGGGGCTCTGACATCATGTGCTATGCAGTTTGTAGCTTTCTGTGTCTTAAGAAGACATTTTCGGGGCTCCTGGGTGGCTCAGTCGGTTAAGCGTCTGGCTTCGGCCCAGGTCATGATCTCACAGTCCGTGGGTTCGAGCCCTGCGTCGGGCTCTGTGCTGACAGCTCAGAACCTGGAGCCTGTTTCAGATTCTGTGTCTCCTTCTCTCTCTCTGCCCCTCCCCTACTCATGCTCTGTCTGTCTGTCTCAAAAATAAATAAACTATTGAAAAAAATTAAAAGACATTTTCTAGAAAACTGCACAAATCAGATGGTTGTAAACTGGAACCTTGGAGTTGTCCTAGATTCCTAGAAACTGGGTAAGGAGTGTGAGTCTTTACCTGAGTGGCCTCTGGGAGATAATTAGGTTACAAAGGTGGAGTGCTCATGAATGGGGTTAGTGCCCTTATAAGAGACCCCGGAGAGCTCCCTCAGTCCCTCTGGGAGACGAGGACATTGTGAGAGGTCTCCCCTCAGGAAGAGGGCCCTCACCAGACCGTGCTGGCCCGCCAGTCTCAGCCTTCCAGCCTCCAGAGGTGTGAGGAATAAATATCTGTGGTTTATAAGCCACCCAATCAATGGTTGTTGAAGGAGGTCATCAAAAGGACATGACCGCTGGGTGACCCTTGAGCTGGAACCAGTCAGAGGCTCTTTATCTCCTACCTTCGCACAGGAACACACCCACTGTCCCTGTGCTAGGAGCCACTTCAAGGACAAAGCCTTGAGAGACTAATGTATTATTGAGACCACCGTGGAGCAAACCCCATTAAAACCTATGTATAAACTCTTCAGATTCTGACAGGAGGGTGCCGAGATTTACTCTTCTTGTGACCACCTGAGATAAGCCTGATACATAAATTCCCTTGCCTATTACAATTGCCATCTGCCAATCTGGAGTGGCCTGCCTCTCTCCTTGGGCTCTCCTTGCCATCTTTGTCCGGGGGCAGTTTCAAATTTCACCTGGGGAGTTCCGGAGGTTTCCAACCAACAGTCGTCGTTGGAGCTGACGATGACACGGATGCAGTCAGGGTGTCATTTGAAGGGATGACTGGGGTCGAAGGATGTGCTTTCAGGATGGCTCATTCACGAGGATGGCAGGTTAGGGCAGGCTGTTGGCAAGAGCCTCGGTTTCTCGCTTTGTGGACCTCTTCATTGGGCTGCCTGCGTGTCCTCCTGATGCAGCAGCTGGCTTCCCCCAAAGCAAGGGTTTCAAGAGACACCAAGGAAAACCTGCACTGTCTTTTCTGCCCTCACTTCAGAAGTCACATGCCATCATTTCCACAGTGTCTAGGGGACCCTACACAGGACATGAGTGACAGGACGTGAGGACGGTTGGGGGCCCTCTGGGAGGCTGGCTGTCACACCTTGTAATGTAGTCTCTACCTTCTTATGTGTCACACGCAGCATTCATGGTTTCTCTTTCTCCACTAGCTCTTTGAGAGCAGGGATGTTTGTCCTTTTGATTTCCCACGTGTCCACGTGTCCACGTGCCTGCCACATAGAGGCCCTTGATAGATAGTTATTACATTGTAGCTAATGTGAGCTGAACTATTTTCCCAGGGCCTGAAGAGGGTGACGGAGGTGATAGTCAGTGCTTCTGACTTATGTTTTTAAAACAAAAATCTAGTGTCACTCATTGCGACTGTTGGCTCTGGGCCTTTTTTTTATTTTTTAAGTAAGGTTCACCTGTATTTCAGGGTAGCTAGTGAGTTATGGGAACTTGACTCTGTTCTTCTGCTTCGCAGGGAGCAAAATAAAAGGAAGTTTCTTAATCTCTTTATGCCATAGTTTTCCTCATGGGAAACATGGAATATTGCTGGGTATTTTGAAAGATCAAATGAGACAACGAATGCAAAGTACGTCTTAAGCAGTAAGCTCTCCAAAATCGTGTTAATATCATTTGAACCTAGGAGGTGGTTGAATGTTAAGACAGGATGCAGGAGAGGTGGAGGGAGAAACCCTCTCTGGCACTTCAGAGCTGCCTGGATAAATCCTCAGGTGTGTGTCCATTCCAGAAGCATCTGTGAACACCCGTGCTGGGTTCCTGCCTGTGAGCAATCCAGACACCACCCAGGAGCGTACCTAGGCAAGTCGAGGAAGAAATGGGGTCCTTTTGCTCACTCAAGAACACCTTTAGCCAGATCCTACTGGGTGCTGGCCCTAGGTTTACAGGCAGCACAGCCCTTGGCCTCAGGGGACTCACCGTCTAGGGGAGGGTCACATAGGTGGACCAGGGGTCCTGGTGAAGTGTGGTCAGTGCAGTGTAGACACAAGTCCTAGAGGCTGGGGGACTAGGGGGCTCAGAGACAGCCTTATAGAGGAGGTGAACTTTGGGACTGAGTGGAAGTTGGCAGAAGTGAAGGACATAAGGTGGGGGAAGAGAATGTCCCCGCATAGGAAATGGATAAAAGCCTAAAGTCACACAAAGCCTGGCATGGGGTAAGGGTTGGGGTTGTGGAGGCATAAAGAGAGAGGGTGAAGAGGTGAACAGCCTGGAATTTTATTCTGTGGGGTTTTTATTTTGCAGCCCTAACACGACTTACAGAATGAGGTTGTCACACCTGTTTGAAAGCACACTGGTGGTCTTCTGGGTGACACCTGAGGCAGGGGGATGGGAGAGGATGCTGGTGCAGGGACCCTGAGGCGAAACGTGGGAATCCCAGTGTTCAGGACCGCACAGGACCCGCCCATGGACCCTCCAGTCTGATCAGCAGGTCCCTTCTGTGGGGTCTGCCCAGTGACTGCTCATGAAGGAGGCCTTGGGGACCACATCACTTTGTGATAGCAGAGAGCGGGGGATGGGGGATTTGATCTGCTTTTAACTCTACCTCTTCCCCTAGAAGAGAGGGGACTTATTTCTAAAGAGGGCCACCACCTCTT